AATGTAACGTGAGGGCCATTGTAACTGTTTGCTCCATGTCCCGGAGACGAAGAGGAGAAGGCTGGGCCCAACTTAGCTTTTGTAAGGTTTCTCCCCAGTGTGTATTCTTTCATGTATTTTTAAAGAACTCTTACGTAGAAACTGTTTTCCACAGTCTGTGCAACTGTAAGGTTTCTCCCCAGTGTGTATTCTTTCATGTATTTTTAAAGAACTCTTGAGTAGAAACTGTTTTCCGCAGTCTGTGCAACTATATGGTTTTTCCCCAGTGTGTATTCTTTCATGGTTTTTTAAAGTTCCCTTGTCTCCAAACTGTTTTCCACAAACTACACAATGATACGGTTTCTCTCCAGAATACGTCTTCGTTTGTTGTGTTAGGTTATCAAATGTTTTTCCACAACTGTATAGTTTATCATCACACTGATGTACGATAGATACTTTTAGGTTTTTTCCACTTAATTTTGTTTCTCCACTAATATTGTTAGTTTCGGATTTTACGTCTTCTGTAAAGTGATTTTCTTGTTTTATAAAATAACCAGGAAACTGACTTCCACTACAGATGTTCACACTGGTCTCTTTATCTGAAGTAAATACAAATGATGTCAAAAATAGGTCATAATAAATATATCATAATTACTTAATTTGATGAACATCTAAATATATTTTAATGTTGAAACATGATCAACCCAAATATTAATACAGAAATACTAAAGAAATAACTAAGTTTAAAAATTATAAAAACTTTTTCTACCCAGAACAGAATAGCATTAAAAACATAAACTGTTGGTAACGTACCATGTTCAAGAGAAGTTTTTAGTAGATAACATCTAAAATTGCCTGTACAAATATGATAGTACACTTTAGCACCAATCAACACTACTTTTAGCCAGTGACTTTCTGGATTAACTGTTAGTATTTTCTAACTTGAAGTGGTGATTATCATGTTATCTTTTAACGATTTGTCTACTTTAACATGTTAATTAACATGAATACTTTATAGTTCCTGTTTAAATGTTCAGTATGTGGTAAATGAATATTTACACATGCTAAGATATATACTAAACTAAAATGTTTATCTATTTATTATTTATGAAGTTTAGGTATTATTAGAGGCTGTTTCATTACTGACTTCAGTATGTTAAATGAAATGACTGGAGATTTGGGTTGTATAGGCTGTTACTGTTCAGGATAATCACATTTACAGAAATAAATGACAACAGCACATTCTCTGAACATGAAGAACCAAAAAGGTAACAAACCTGGTCAATTATAAAGTTTCTTAATGTTTCATTTATAGAAACAAGTACTGTTCTCCTATTCATTTCGAGACAAACGTTTCTTTAATATTTTAAAAGCACTTTGTTGCCATTTTATCACCTTACACATTAATTTACAGGTACAAATAACAAATGACAATTCCTGCTCCTCAATCTTCATCTGCCATCAAATAATTTATGTAATCAGCACAACAGTTTATATACCCCATAAATTTTGCACCATATCTAAACCTGTACGTATCATGTGACCACTCTCCACCAATAGCATTGAGCCATCTATACTGCTATTCTCACTCAATATTCCCTATCTTCACTAGCACTGTATTATTTAGGGTTGTGTGTTCCAGTTCAGGGCTCTACCATTAGACCAACATCGGCTCCTTATGTGTTTTGTCAGGTAGTATGCACAATTGCCTAACAACTTCACTTTATGGGCCATTGTACTCATGATTACATGGACGATCGCCTCTTCCAGTCCTCAGTCATAGGACCACAAACAACATAGATGGGTTTAATGACTATTCTTGCCACACTCAACATCTTAGTCATTTAGAGGTTTTCTTCAATTACTTGCACAGACTGTGGTAAACAATTTAGAGACAAGAGAACTTTAAAAAAACATGAAAGAATACACACTGGGGAGAAACCGTACAGTTGCACAGACTGTGGAAAACAGTTTGGAACAAACACACATTTAAAAGTACATGAAAGAAGACACACTGGGGTGAAACCTTACAGTTGTACAGTGTGTGGAAAACAGTTTGGAACAAGCACAGAATTAAAAAACCATAAAAGAATACACACTGGGGAGAAACCTTACAGTTGTACAGTGTGTGGAAAACAGTTTGGAACAAACACACATTTAAAGAAACATGAAATAATACACACTGGGGAGAAACCTTACAGTGGTACAGTGTGTGGAAAACAGTTTGGAACAAGCACAGAATTAAAAAACCATAAAAGAATACACACTGGGGAGATGTATTCTTTCATGAATTTTTAAATAATACTTTTCCCTAAACTGTTTTTCACACACTGTACAACTGTAAGGTTTAGTGAGGAGAAACCTTACAGTTGTACAGTGTGTGGAAAACAGTTTAGATGGAAGAAGCAATTAAAAAAACATGAAATAATACACAGTGGGGAGAAACCTTATAGTTGTACAGTGTGTGAAAAACAGTTTGGAAAAAACAGTGAATTAAAAATACATGAAAGAAAACACACTGGGGAGAAACCTTATAGTTGTACAGTGTGTGAAAAACAGTTTGGAAAAAACAGTAGATTAAAAATACATGAAAGAAAACACACTGGGGAGAAACCTTATAGTTGTACAGTGTGTGAAAAACAGTTGGCAACAAAGGATAGCTTAAAAATACACAATAAAATACACACTGGTGTGAAACCTTACAGTTGTACAGTGTGTGAAAAACAGTTTAGGGAAAAGTATGATTTAAAAATTCATGAAAGAATACATAGTGAGGAGAAACCTTACAGTTGTACAGTGTGTGGAAAACAGTTTAGATGGAAGACTCAATTAAAAAAACATGAATTAATACACAGTGGGGAGAAACCTTATAGTTGTACAGTGTGTGGAAAACAGTTTAGACTGAAGAAGCAATTAAAAGTACATGAAAGAATACACACTGGGGAAAACCTTACAGTTGTACAATGTGTGGAAAACAGTTTAGACTGAAGAGTCAATTAAAAATACATGAAAGAATACACAGTGGGGTGAAACCTTACAGTTGTACAGTGTGTGTGTGAAAAACGGTTTGGAAACAAGGATTATTTACAAATATGTGAAAGAATACACAGTTTTGAGAAACCTTACAGTTGTACAGTGTGTGGAAAACAGTTTAGATGGAAGAGTCAGTTAAAAAAACATGAAATAATACACAGTGGGGAGAAACCTTACAGTTGTACAGTGTGTGGACAACAGTTTAGACTGAAGAAGCAATTAA